GAGTGTCATGAGAAAAACTGGCCAAAAATTATAGGAATGAGTGACATCCTCAGCAGTAGGATAAACAGACAGCTCCAACCCAATCCACTTATGTACAGCCCCCCCCCGAGAAGCTCCATCTGTAGTGGCCAATGCTAGCAGAGCTTCCATACTGAACTGTCAGTAATGAGATTTGTCAGGAAAATGAAGCTGTAGCCCCAACTATTGGATTGCAGTGGTGGAGTTTCATATCCCAGAACATTCATGAGCTGAGAGCTCATGTCATGAGTCAGAGCTGAGAGCTCCAGTCCATCTTCTGTGCATCAGGTGCAGCAACTCCTCTCAGGTACTGCCCAGATGAGAAGAACAGTGTTGGTAAAATTATTTGATTGCATAACTTGCAAGAAGTTAGGATTCAAACAAGTGCCTCTGCATGGATCCTTTATCAGAGAATCACAGCCTGGTTTGGGTGGGAAGGACCTTAAAGTCCATCCCATCCCACCCCCTGGCATGGGTAGGAACACCTTCCAGTAGCCCAGGTTGCTCCAAACCTTATCCAACCTGGGATGTTTTCCCTCACCATGGTTTTGGGTGAGCTCTCAGAGCAGGTGACCCTTGAGCTGCTTTGTTTTATAAGTGCTTCCCATGAGATTTCCCAGTGATTTAGTCCTCCAGTCTCCCCTGTATTCCTCACTTCCCTGTGCAGGAGAGACATCTCGGTTCCTGCAGCGCACTCAGCACTATGATGCTGTGCTCTCAGCCCTGGTCCAGGCTGGCATCCGAGTCCTGTTCAGCTCTGGGCAGGAGGACAGTGCTGCCTTGCTGAAGGACCTGGCTGTGGTGGAGCAGAGGAAGAACTGTGCCATCTGTGTGCCCACGGAGGTGGAGGGACCCTGGCGGGACAGGCTCAGCTTCTACCTCAGCATCCCCAACCTCAGCTACGTGGCTGCCCTCAACCTCTGCCATGCCTTCCACTCCCTCAGGGACATGGTCAACAGGTAATGCCACAGGGGCAGGGCAGGTGTGTGGCCTGCCTGGCCTTTCACTGCTGTCTCCTCCCCTGGGGCTGGCATCAGTCTTCCTGTGGGATACATTCGTGGGGAGAGCCTTCCTTCACCTTTCCTGCTGGAGGAGATCCTTCCTGCACCTTCCCTGTGAGACAGATGCTGATGGAAGTCCTTTCTGCATCTTCCCTGTGGGACAGATGCTCAGGGAGACCCTTGCTGCACCTCTGCTGCGGGATAGATGCTTGGGGAGGTCCTGCACCTTTCCTGCTGGAATAGCTGCTCAGGGAGATCTTTTCCACACCTGTCAGAGCTCCCAGGAGCTTTCCTGTCTCTGTTCTCTCTGCACTCTCCAGTCTCTCCCAGCCAAGCAGCCCAGGACAACAACACAGCTCTGCTTCCACCCCCACCTCCTGCTGCCCCATCTTTTCCTCCCTTTTGGCATTCCCCATTTTCCTGCAGCTTCCCTAGCCTTGCTCAGGTGTGCTCCCAGCCCTGGGACA